ATTTTCTGTTCTTAATAGACACAAATACTGCAGAACAATATCGGGATCGTTTCCATAACATAATCCCCAAGAATAATAAGAAAACTTGTAACCAGAAAGGGGAAAAATAAAAATATTAAGAGTGTGTAAATCTACAAATCGAGTGGCTTTTATGTACCTTCCTGCACAGCTTGCTGTGCCCACTTGATGGTTGACCTGGCCAACGCGTCCATCGGGTCAGTACATTTCTGAAGAAGTGGATCATTCTGAGGAAAAAGATTGCGCATATCATCAGATGCGAGGATAACAGTGTTCACCGCCCTCACCAGAAGAACTTGGAGAGCAATTCTCAGTAGATTCCGTGCTCCTTCCATGTCATTTCTGTTTAGAGCATCCATGGCCGGGATTACAGTGTGTTCCATGGTTGCTTTATCTGGCAGCACAACCTCAAACCCCTACATGCAGATATTAGAGTAACAAATATGGGCTCACAATTGTCAAAGCCATTGCACAATTGCACTGAAACTGGTATAATAAGGGTTTGAGATTTTTCGGGTCCGAAAGTCTTATCAACTTTAAAGGCCCATAACTGGTATAATAATGAAATCATCTGTCCATTACTCTGCATCCTTTTCTCATACCAACAAAAATGCACAAAGAAGACTTGAATTTAATGACCATATTATCAATATTGAAAATCTCTGTTGTAGTTGAAGAGACCAACTTGCTTCAGTCATGAACATCAAAAACATACGCCATTAGTCTTCAGTTCGAACCTTATAAATAATCTAATCGTACTTTCAAAATCAAAAGCATTCAAAACAAATAAGTTCAACCATGAATGATCTTCTTACCTAGCTAAAATATCTCTTCATTATCTTTAACCAAATAATTATTATCAGTTTTTTGTTTGGTACTTGGAACACAAATTCTCCTAGTATACAATCATTCTTCCTAAATGGATGCATTGAGCTTATTTCCCAGGGCAGAAAACTTACCTCTTCCTGCAGTTTCTCTTGATAAAACCCTGCTTTTAAAGTTGCATCAGTGCCGAGTACCCCAATTCGCAAAGGGCTCCCCGCTTCCAGGGGCTTCAACTTGGCTTCCTTAAGCTCCCTGGCAACACACTCGCCAACGTGAAGGGAATGAACAGAACATCCCTTAAACACTTCATCATGCCATGAGTGTGATATATGACAAGGCACTACAATGCAGTGAGCTCCCGATTTCTCGAGGAAATCCCTTTTACTCTGTAGACTGTCAACAATCCGGGTATGATTGAATTGCGAAAGATCATTTCTACTGCGAAGGAAGAATAACTTTCCTCCAGCAATGAAAGCTCCCTATTCAACGCCGGATCAGAGCAAACAACAAATGGCATACACTTCTCTTCATTCTCTTTGCTGAAATGCACTATTTTTCTCAAGAAACTTAGAGTGGAATCAGCAGATAACCCACCAATTATTCCCACAGTATTAGGAGCAGTAAGCAAGGACCCACCAGAGCTGCTTAAAGAAGCTGGATTTTTCCTAGATTCGGGGAAGTTCCCACTTTCATCAGTGTGTAAGATCACTGAAGAAGGGGGCATAGCAAGAAGTGGATTCAACCTTTTATTACAAAGGTTTTTCTGCCTAATTATACAGCCTGGGATGTAAGATGGGTAATTCCGTGACATTTGCAAGCTTCTATCCAACATCTGAACATGAAAAGTATCAAATTAATCATACATAGAAACCCCAGTTCTTGTATTTCTCCCAAAATTTCTATTTTCTACAACCAAACCCACTTACAGAACCATCCAAATGTTCGATTTTGAGCCTTCATATACATCAACAACAACAAAAAAGCTTTTCCCCCTGAGTTTAGTTCCCAAAAGACAAAACTGCTCTAACAAAGCAAATCCATTCCAGCAACCCAAACAGAAGAACAAAACCCAGGAAGTTTTGTCGTTCTAAGCTTCCAGAGTTCAAAAAAGAAGGAAAAATAAACAGAGGCAGTGTGAATAGAGAAAAAGGGAAGAGAGTTTGAAATTGTGAAGATTCTGTTGATGTGTTGTGTTACCAGTGGTTTAGAGATGAAGCAGGAGTTCACAGCGAGTGGGGAAAGGATCTTTGTGGTTTTGGGGTATAAGGATCACTCTCAAACACAAGTTTTCTCCGCTATACTATTACTACCTCCTACGCAACGAAAATGAAAGAAAACACAGCTAAGTCTGCCTGTCATCTTGTGTTTGTAGAATGTGCGACTTGGGAGACTGGCAGGTGGTGGGCCCTCGTAGCGGGGTCCAAATTGAGAAATAATTGCGCCAAAAGTTTTGTTAAAAGAAAAATAAAGAAACATGCGTATGGCTAACGTGCGCTGATCATGAACACAACTAACACTACTAATGTTGGATAACCCTTTTTTAAGGAGTAAGAACACAAGATTATGGTTGTGTGACATTTTGTAATAAAGTTAATTCCTTTTACTTAAAATTAAAAATCAAATAATAATAAAAATAATTATTTTTTCTGATTTTTTATATAGTCTTCAAACAACACTTTAATAAAATATTTTATTAAATTCTATCTGAAATATTATTTTGTAATATTTTTACCTTTTTTCATTTTGATATGATTTTTATTTTTCCTCAAACAATTATAAATAAAATTTCCCCTTTTTCTTTATTTTCCCTGTCACTTCTATTAAAAAAGCTCCAGTTGCTTATTTCTTCTATCCTATTTCAGTTTATTTATTTGATACATGAATGTGAAATTAATTTATTTATTAAAATAAAAAAAACTCCGTTAGCTTTGAGGATATGAAGTGGAGCCAATTCTTTCAACTGCAGCTTGTCAACTCCTCTCTTAAGCCCTGTTTAAACAAATAACGAGTAATGGGTAAGGATTCAGTAGTTTCTTCGATCTTCATGATATAAAGCCTACTAACCGGAAAAGGCAACCCTCCCGTGCGATGTATTGTTCGGCATCGGTTCGTTTCAGAAAGTGCGTCGAGTGGCAAGCAAAATTGGCAGACTTAACACTAAGAATTATTTCATTACCCTAATTTTCAATCACTCTTACCTTGATGCAGGGATCTTTTGGAGGCACTATATCCTGAGAAAACCAAGAAGTTTAGCCATTACAATCTAGTTGCAGTGACAGATGCTTCTCAGTGCTTTGTGAGAAAGAAAAGAAGACCGCCGGTTTCAGATTAACTACTTTGAAGTTGCTTGCTTTTGATTCTTTGCGAGAAAGAAAAGAAAACCACCACTTTCAAGCACTCTTGGCCTGTTTTCGATTCTTAGAAGGTTTGCCATTCGCATTGGATAAACCTAGATGCCTAAGGTTTTGTGGTAAAACGTTTAATTCATATGAGAAGATACACATTACCAGTCACATCAAGGCTCGGTCCTGACATGTATAATTTTCAACTTCTTTGTGAGATACTTGCACGTATGCCATTAGGCAGCGCTTGTTTCGAGTTAAAGAAAGGTGGTGGATGAGTGTTCCATAGTGGTTAGAAATTATAGCTGTTTGGACTTCTAATCCCTCCCCCTGCATTTTCCTATCATGGCATAATAAATCATGTTAAAGGCAGAAGGGAAACAAGCATTTGAGCTGATTCATTGAACAAATAAATGGAAAGAGGCTGGGCAGCACCACCTAATTTCAGCAGATGTAGTTACGAAAAGAAGGGGATAAAGAAGGATAACAAAAAGGGGAAAGGCTAAAGCAGCAGCCTAGCAATGAGGATTACCTTATCAAAGACTGAAGCGCATTATGATGCTCTTTGTTTTCTTCAATTACTCGTTCAAATAGCTCATTCTGCGATTATCAAGTTATTTACAACATTAAACTAGCACAATTCAAATTAGATTAAGGAATTCAGATATAAAATCCGAAGCAAATACTATGCATACCCACACAAATTCGAAGGGAATAAACACACCCACCAAGCAATATCTCAATTGTTAACTAGGTTCATTGAATTCTAATACGCTGTTATGTGTGCTAGAAAAATGATTTCTAAATAAAAGTGAGCAAGCAAGCAGCCTTACGTTGAATATCTTGAGATCCCCTTTTTCACCAGCTGGAACGCCTTTTCCATCTTAACCGCCCCCCTTCAACTATATTTTACCTTCAAAATGGAAGCCATATTTGAGGCTAATAATTAGAGATAAATACTGGTGATTACGCTTTAAGAAGTGTGAAATAGAGAATAAAGTGATATTGGAAAAGTTCAGAGCAAGTACCGAAGAGAAAAACGAGGCGTACATCTCTGGATCTAATAGCAAGGGCAAGGCGGAGCTTACGGTGGATGTTATGCACCTCTAAAACAATTAAACCTTTTTTTTACTCTCAAAACCTTCCTTCGAACCTAATAACAGCAGGTTATAGAGTTTGATTTAGTTAGCGTTCAAATATTGATTTAATTGTTCAAAGAATTGATGAGATTTTCTTAATCGAAACGTGTAATGCACCTTCAAAAAATTACATGGCATGTATTAGATTTTCCAAAATACAAATTCATGATCATAGAAAATATCTTCTCATCTTACTAATATGGCCAGAGCTTGATTGAAATTGTCCTTCATTAATTAGCCGAAACGCTTTGAAAATTTAATATTTAGCATTGGGTTTTGTTTTTTGTTGGGGTGGGGGGAGGATAAGTAATGGCCGTTTCCCCTTGGTCGTCTCTTTGGAAGGTTAGATGATTAAAGTCGTTCATTAACGTTAACAAATATAATCATCATCTTAATCACAATTTAAATTTTAGAGGAAAAAAGTAAAAAGTAAAAAGTAAAAAATAAATAATAAACTATATTTATATGATTAACTTTGAAATCTCAACTTTTTACAATTACATAACTATTTTTATCCATAATTAACTAAATCCCACGTTTCTCGTCAATAGTAACAGTTGACAGAAAAAAATATTTTATATATCATAAAATAATCGACTGGGCTGGCTTAGTGTGACTTTTTCATAACCAAATCTTCCAGATTTCTCTATCCTTCCCTCTCTCTTTATATATTTATACACACAAATCCTTCATTTAGTTTCATTAAAGAGAGAAGAAGAAAAGCCGGCGTCCGCCATGTCTGGTTTGCAAAGATCTGAAGTGTCTTTCAGGAGGCAGGGGTCTTCAGGGCTTGTTTGGGACGACAAATTTTTGTCGGAGGCGTTGAAACAAGAAGGAGAAACGAAGCAGCTACAGCAAGACGAACAGGGGCAGTTACAAGACAGTAGTAATCCAGAAAAGATTAACACCGTTAAGCCGACAAGAAACCTTGGACCAGTCAACACCGTTGAAAGAAGCCGATCCCACGGTGAGAGACGAAGTTACCGAACTGGTAAGGTGTCCCCTGCTATTGAGCCGCCTTCTCCGAAGGTGTCAGCTTGTGGATTTTGCAGTGCTTTTGGGAAACAACCCAAGAATCATAGGAAAAATCCTGGTAAGATTAGATCAAGATAGGCCTTTTGCTGGTAACCGGAGATGGGAATTCCGGTGAACTTCATGGGTAGTGGTTAGTACAGTAGTAAATGTTTTCTTCTTCTTCTTTTGGGTGTTAAAAGTTTTGATCTCTTTTAATTTAGTTAATGTTTGTGGTTTGAAATTTTGGATTGATATGTAATTAAAATAATCTGTAAATTTTTTAGTATTTGGGTGTTGATGAGACAGAATGTTCGAAATCTTGATTGACAGTCATCTATTGGCATCTTGGTTTGAATGTGTTTATTCTTTATTCTAGATTCGGAATTGCATAGCAGAAGTTTAAAATTTCTGGCTTGTTATTGGGGGATCTATTTCTGAAACAGGTTAAGTTTGGCAGAGAATCTCTCCCCTGTTTGTCAGAAAATTTTAAGGAATTTCTGGGGGGAGAGTGGACCCTTTTCAACCAGTTTGTATATCACTGTTATTCAATCCCAGGAGACGTAAGGATAATAATTATTCCTCTAATCATGAACATAAAAGGTTCGTACACAATTTAAAATTTCTATTAACATAAAGTTAGGGGCTTCGTACACAATTTAAAATTTATATTAACATAAAGTTGGGCGGTTTGTTGTCTCTTAATAGAATCATTCAGCGTTGAATGATGAATCGTTCAGCATTCAGCGCGTTTGTTTCGCATCTCTGAATGATTCAATGCTGACTGATTCAGCAAAATAGTGCTGAATGATTCAACACAGAAGTACATTTTGAATGATTCAGAGTCATTATCAAACAACATGTCACATTCAGAGATTATTCATACAGAGTCTCTGAATCATTCAGCATTTGAATCATTCAGCGCTTAATCATTTTGAAGTAAACAAACAGTCTCTTAAACTTCATAAAAACTCAAATGTTATTAAATATTCAGTTTTGGTTTAAATTTAACATGTTTATAAGTTCCCATCTTCTTAGGTGGAAATTATTAGTATATGCTAATTTAAAATATTGTTTTTATTCATAAGCAAATATAATATTTTTGTAATACATTTTATTGGTCATTATATATAGAATGGTTTTCATTAACCTATTTGAGAAGTTTCACTCAATGTATATTAAAAAAAAGCTAATTTTGGAATTGAAAAGCTTCACTTTTTTATTTTTTGAATAATTTTGAGTAAGTACACTGTAGAATATCTGTTCAAATATAACTCTCAACTTTTTGACATTGATCGCTCACACCCCTGATAACTATGGTGCTCAAACCCGGATCTTCAAGGAATAACAACAATTCTTTTACTATTGAGGCTACTTTGGTTCATGTGAAAAGCTTCACTTGTGTATAAAAGAACCTATTATTTAAATTAACATATTGTAAATTTATCGTGAGCAGATCCATTTTGTTTTTCAAAATTTTTGTTTAATGTGAGTTAAATGTTAGGTTTAATGGCTAAAGTATGTTTACCCCTCGACTCAGTTGTAAATAAATAGAACATTCGGTGAACTGTCCGTATGATATTTGTTTATGTTTGTTTGTTAAGCTAAATCAACGAGTATGAATAAAAAATTATATGCTCGTTTAATAAATAGAACATTCAGTGAAATGTCCGTATGATATTTGTTTATGTTTGTTTGTTAAGCAAAATAAACGAGTATGAATAAAAAATTATATGTTCGTTTAATAAACTAGCATGAACATAGGTGTGTTCGGTTTTCTATGTTCACGAACAAGCTCGTTTATCGCCTCAATTATTTATATTCATGAACAAGCTCATTTACCTGATTCTCCTTTTCATTCTATTTTTTAAATATTGGTGAATGTATGGACTAAATTGAACATATGGTAAAAGTTAAAATTTAAATTGTAAATTTTAAGGAGTTTAAGCACTAATTTTATCATTTGTCTTTAACTTGAAAATGAAAGAAAAACTAAAAATTGAACATACAAATGAACTATAAACAAATAATAAAAGAATTGTTGAAAATATTTTGATGTTTGATATAACAAATTAAATTAAATGAATTTTAAGATTTCACAAATGATTTTCTAAGTATATTCAATTTAATTACTCGAATATCAAATTATTACTCCAAGACTTTCAAGATCAATTTCAAACCTTACTAAATGTGTAAAATTGTGTTTTATACTTAAACTATTTTTGAAACAATTTTCACAAAGTATTTTGAACCAAAATCAAGCCTAAAATCAATTTTTCAAAGTGATGCACCAATGCACCAATCCATCATCGATGTACCAATTAATTTTTCAAACATCGAATGCATTTTATGCATCGATGCACTCAGTGCATTTGATGCATCGATGCATAAGACAATGCATCGATGCACTCAGGCCTTTTCAAAACATCGAATGCATTTAATGCATCGATACACTCTTAGTGCACCGATGCAGTGAGAGTCCAACGATCAAAATATTTGAATTTTACACTGATGCACCGATGCACCTAGGGTATGCATCGATGCACTGACGCTCCCAACTGCTTTAATTAATTGTTTTCACACTTAAACGACTCTATTGACTCCACTAATCATCCCCAACGTTCAGAATCATTTGAAGGTGTATTTAAACAAGCTTAGAAGCCATTGATCAAAAACAAGAAACAACAATCAACAAGAATCAAGAGAGAAAGCATCAAACCTCAAGTTTGAGCATTTCAAGCCTATTTTTCATTCAATATTCATTTTGCTTTCAAGAACACTACTTGTACTCAATTGTATTCATTTTTTAGTGTTCTTTTCTTTGTTCTAGAATTGTGCAAACAATCTACCTTGTGAGGATTTCCTTTTGCAAATTTGTAATATTCTCTTTGAGAAAGAGTGTTATCAAGAATTGGGTATATTCTTGAGGGAGTTGTAAGGTTATCTCTTTGGCCTCAAAAGAAAGAAAAATTAGTGAATTTGTTGGAAAATCCTTAGTGTGAATAACTAAGGTAGTGGACATAGAGTTTGGTTGAGAAAGTCGAACCACTCTAAATCGCTGTGCAAATCTTTTCAAATTTCTTCAAAAGCTTCCACCAAAATTTTAATTGCCAATTCACCCCCTCTTGGTCGATTCCATCAATCGATTAACTCAACAATTGGTATCAGAGTCTCACTCATTTGAAGGTTTAATCGCATCTTGAGTCGATTCGGGAAGAGTTACATCGATTGTCAAGTCATCAATGGCCTCTACTTCAAATGTCAACTCCGGTCTCGATTTGATACCCGTCAACAAGTCTCCTTTCTTCAATAGAGCTAACTATGCCTATTGGAAGAATAGGATGATGTATTTCATTCAATCAAGTGACATGGGAGCATGGAATGTTGTAGAAGACGGATATATCAAGCCTCTCACTCATCCAAGATTGTAGAGTGAATGAAAGACAAGAATGTTCCAGCTCAACTCCAAAGCAATCCATATCATATTTTGTGCTCTTGGACCAGATGAATATGGAAGGGTTTCATCTTGTACAACCGCCAAAGAAATATGGGATAAACTACAAGTCACTCATGAAGGCACCGACGAGGTAAAAGAATCTAAAATTAGTCTTCTAACACATAGCTATGAAAATTTCAGGATAAAACCAAATGAAGATATCAAAGCTATGACGGATAGATTCTCAACGATTGTCAATGGTCTCAAATCATATGGAGAGATCATTCCAAACGAAAAGCTTGTGAGGAAGTTAGTTTACTCACTTCCAAAATCATGGCAATCCAAGAAGACTGCAATCATCGAGGCTAAGAACCTAAAGTCCTTAACTCTTGAAGAGCTAATCGGTTCACTCTTTACTCATGAAATGATGCTTGAAGATGAGGTGGACCTCGATAAGATTGATGAGACACCAAAGAAGAAAGAGAAGAAGAAAAACATTGGAGTTGCTCTCAAATCCACAAAAGATGAGAGTGATTCAGATGAAGATGACGAGGAAATGGCATTATTTGCCAAACGATTCAAAAAAAATGATGAGACCTTATCGAGGAAGAAAATTCAAACGAAATGAAGGCCTCAAAAATGAACCAAAAGAGAAGGACCCTATCATTTGCTATGAATGCAAAAAGTCGGGGCATGTCAAATATGATTGCCCACAATTGAAAAAAATGGTCAATAAAAAAATAAGCACAAGGCTCATGTGGCTACATGGAGCGATGAAGAGGATTCCGATGAAGAGGAACAAAAAGTAGCAAACTTATGCTTGATGGCATTCGGGGAAGATTCTAAGGTAACCTCTAACTCATCTGAATTTGATGATTTATCTTATGATGAGCTATTAGAGGAATATAATAGGTTGGCTTCGGATTATGAGAAATTATTTTTAAAATATAAAAATGATGTTTCAAAATTGAAAAATGAAAATAAACTCATATCCAAAACCAACAACGATCTTGAAAGTAAAATCAAAGATTTGCAAATCAAACTAGAAGAGTTTGAAAAGAAAAATTTGGATTTGCAAAATTTACTTTCAAAAGTCAATGATGATCATCAAAAGAAAATTGATGATCTTAAAACTTCTTTTGATAAAGTTGGAACAAAACGTTTTGAAAATGGAGAAAATTCAAAATCCAATTTTGTTAGAAAAAGTTTTAAAAACTACAATCATAGAGGTCCCCGAAGAACCTCTAATGGAAAAATCGTTAGAAGTATATGGGTTCCTAAAGGACTTATTACTACTAAAGATAAAGATATCCTACACAAATGGATACCTAAGGGGACTAGGATTTTGGAAACTAATGAATATGGACCCAAAAGAATTTGGGTACCAAAAATTAGAAATTAATCTATTTTGTAGGAAAATGAGCATTGCTACAAGGCACGAGAATCAAATTCAAACTCATGGTACCTTGATAGCGGATGCTCAAGATACATGACCGGGGACAAAAGTCTGTTAATAGAGCTTAACGCCAAAAATGGAGGAGAATTGACTTTTGGTGATAATTCAAAAGGTCACATCGGAGGTATAGGTACTATAGGTAATACCTCTTCCATACAAATTAAAAATGTTTTATATGTGAATGGATTAAAGCATAATCTCTTAAGTATTAGTTAATTATGTGATAAAGGATTCAATGTCATGTTTGAAACTAATGGTTGTAAAGTTATTGACATTGCATCTAATCGAATTATGCTTGTTGGTCATAGAATAGGAAACATATACATGGTGCATTTAGACTCTATTGATATGACTAATTTATGCCTAGTTGCTAAGGATGAGCATGATAGTTGGTTATAGCATAGAAGACTAGGACATGCTAGTATGAGTGTTTTGCAACGGTTATTTCAAGG